TTCTCTTGAAGAAATTCTGTCCATTTTGTTCTGGATCATCTTCTTCCTCATCTGATATATAATAAACTTCTGGGGAGGATGATGGTGGGGAAGCTGGTGGATAATTTATGGGGGAAGACGGGGAATCCTCATCATTACATGAACTAGGTTGGGAATTTGTCATGAAATATTCCATCTCACTCCATACACATTTATCACAATAACAACTACTGGCACATTCTCCTCTCATATTAATCTCTTCTTTCATATTATTATTAGTGCTACACGTAGCGGCACCCACATGAGACTGGGGTGAAGGTGCGATCTCGTCGTGGGTAGGAGTTACAATATCCTGGATAAAAGCGTTAACATCAACCCCATGAGTAGGAGACACATTCTCAACATCCACATGAGGTCGGGGAGAAGACGCGTTGGTAGTAGGGGCAGCAGCAACATCTCCATATGGATGGGTAGGAGGCTGGGTGGATCTCGCTCCTAACAATCCCATCAACTCGCAAATCATTTGCTCCTGTCGGATTTGATTTGCGCATTATAATCACATCTGGCAAAGAAAAAAAAATCCTGATTAGAAGAATAAGGCGTACCTTTAATTGCATTAAAGTATAAAAGTTTTTTTTTTTACTGGTTAATACATACACTTCTAAAAATCATTTATGTGTAAAAGAAAAAAGATTTTTTTTTCAATATTACAACAAGATTCACTTGGTTAATGAACAAAAATCACTTACCATTTTCCGCAGGAGGATGAAGTTGAATGTTGAATCCTCTGATTAATACCGTACATGAAATTTCTCTTGTATATAATTTTCTCATATATATTTGTATAATGTTTTAAATCCACCCCGAAACTATCTAAATATAATAATATGTGTTTGTTCACATATATAGTAATCCAATGACCAATATTTTCATCTTGATCCTTCAATATATTAATGATGAAAATTACCGGCTTATCTTTTATCCTCATAATAACTTCATTTATATTATTTGCGGCAAAACATCACAAATACGAGGCATATCTTCCCGTATGATGTTTCAAGGCAATATTTATCTCTTCACAATTCATGGTCTATACTCGTGTATGCACAATCACTGTTCTATTTTCATATATATTTAAAATCACATTAGTTTCACCAAACATCAGACAAATTCTATTCTCATCTTTCGGTTTACCAAATGTCATATCTATTCTCAAATTACCATTCTTCTCGACAGATATAGCATTCTTGACCTGTTCACTTCTCAGGTCTACACCTAATATAGTTCTACCTTGGAGAAAACTCTTATATGTAATCAGATGATCAGTCTCCAAACCCAGAGATTTCAAGGTAGCGTAATATAACCTACTCGCATGTGTAGGAAACTTACAGTCAATATTTCAAGGTAGCGTAATATAACCTACTCGCGTGGGTAGGAAACTTACAGTCAATATTAAGAATCATTTCTGAATTAATTGTAACCCCGAAATGATTCAAATCTTCATGTTGAAAATATAATGGATTAAAATTATATCCTCCATCATATGTCTTCATATCAACTATTATAATAAATAACTTATCGGGTATGACTTGTCCCCAAGGATTATCTGCGATCAATTGTGTTTGATTAGATGCCAGAATATATGATTTAAATAATGTCTTCTTGAATAGATATTCACACCCCTGCGGGTTTACCCTCATGCTTGAATTCAATGCAATTAATGCATTCGTATACGGAATAACTTTATCGGTCCATAATTTAATGGAATTAATATTATATTTATATGTTTTTTCCGCTTAATGGAGTCATAATTGCCCATGCGGGTGAATGCAATTCAAGTCTCAATCGACATTCGACACTATCCAGGATATATTCGTGAAAACTACTCACATCCAGCATCAAAGGGAAACAAGTATTCACTTCATTCGTTAATTTACCTTCGTCTTTCTTAATATCATCTAAATCAGCTGTTGTAATAGTACTACTTGCTGTGTCTTTATTACGAAAGAATGCTATTCTTCCCAATGTATCTAATTTTAATGGGGATAAATGCTTAAGCAGTTTAATATAACCTGCATATGAATAAAATGGATACGATTGTATAAGTTGTTCATTGAGATACAAACACACAGATTTGAATATTGTCTGACTTATAGAATACACAAATATGGCCTTATCTCCATCTCCCAGTGCACTCCCATCCTCATTTGATATATTTATGTTCATTTCCAAGGCCAGACTCGTTAAATCTAAAAAATGTCCTTCTGAACTTTGTATTCTAAATTCGAGAAATTTATCAGATCCTTGATTTACTGGTAATATTTCACAGGTGCGTCTAGCTGCTATTGAGGATTCAATAATGGCGTGTCCTGGTAATTTGGGGAATCCATCAGTTATGGAATGAGAATAACTTGGAACGGGGGCGTTGAGCCCCCCCCCTGGTGTAACGTATAGAGCACCAGCCGACATACTAACAATATGACAGTTAACAATATACTAACATTAATTAAATATTCCACTTTCTTTTATTATTAAATTTCAATCGTTTCAAACCAATCTTTCTACTTCCTCCGGATAATAACTTCTGTCCGACACCTTCAATGTTTCTACACCTCTATTTCTCGCAGAATTTTTCAATGCAATACCATTATTAACATCGTTCAACACATTTTGTCCGTATTGTAATACTCCCGGAGCAAAGGTATTCAATAAGAATGGTATTGCTTTTCTGGCCATCCCACCGAGAAATGACAATAATCCTCCGCCCCTCCCTCTAACTTTATATAATATGATATCATCTAAACCTGCCCCTTTCACCCTCGAAGTATCAAAGAGTTTCAGGAATGATTCCACTGAAGGAGGGGAGAAACTGGTTCTCATCTTGACGGTTCGTTCAATATTAACTCAACTTGATCATTCACTCTCGTTTTATAGGTCTTAATGTATACACATACAGTAGAACACTTGTCATTATATTGAATTAACCTTCCTTTCTGATCAGCGAGCTTAATACTCACTTGATCAATTATCTTTTTATTAAGTGGTTTGTACATTGTTGGATCATAATCAGATCTTAATGTATTAATATCAACTACTCCCAAAAGAGATACCAACTGATCGCCAAAATTAATGGGATCAATCAAATCACTATGTATTAACATATAATTAATACCTGATTCAGGATCGGGTGGGTTTACCGCCTTTACACCAGACTCGTTAAAAATAATCTCTTTTTTATTGGTAAAGACATACAAAATTTAATTACCTGAGAACCCTAACATATCGCTTCCTTCTTTATCAAATTCCAACCCCACATAACCGCTAGTAATATCAGAATCACTACAGACGTATAGAATACGTTCAGCCATCTCCACACTCTTATAACACACACTGAGTAAAAACATATCATCACAGAGTTTATATACTCACCTAATATGTTATCCACGATGGTTCCTCTCTCCATACACCGCCTCCTTTATGTAATAATTGTTTTCTCACTTTTGTATTCCTCACAAAATCAAAGTGTATACCTGTTATATTTAATAAATGTTTTATTTCTGTTAAGTAATCAGAATCGATTCTTCTCGCTGATTTCACATTGTTTTCTGATAAAACATTTAATATTTCAATAATATTACGCCCAGTAATGGGGGTAAGAAGGTCACCATTCTCATCCCAACTCACCAAAGGATTTCTTTGCAATAATACCAACATTGATTTCACATATTCTATATTTCTCGCACTCACTCTTATGTTCATGAATCTTGACAAATCTGGGGTTTTCTGAGGTTTCACCGAGGTGAGAGCAGGTGGGTTGACCTGCCTGACCGGACTGAGCTTAATCTTGCGTTTAACACCACGCTTCAAGCATCCACCTCCTCCTTCTAAATTCTCATCACCTCCCGATTTTACTATCTCGAGAGGTTTCCGATTCATAACTGAAGTTGGTATAAGATAAAATTCTTTCATGATTTATTAAACAATCTTGAAATAATATCTACTGCTAGAGGTAATATAATACTAAGAAGATTTCCACCTCTGATACTCAGCAAATATTTCTTTTTACGCTGAAAACCAATTTTCTTACAAGCTAGTGATCTAATCTCGTTCATGTACTTTTTAAATATTTTAGGGTCTAATGGTATTTTATTCTTGATCAAATTCTTGAAAATCTCACTGATACAACTTATGTGTGTTTTCTTAAACTGTTGTAATAAACTCTTCCGTTGATTGAGTGAGAGACTATTAAGTAATGTAATTAATTCTTTAAATTTTTCTAATAATGATTTTTTCATTTTACCTTCAACAAATCTCCTTCTTTGACCCACGAATTAAAAGTGGAATCATAACCTTTTTAAGATACCAAATAATGCGTAATTCCACCATTTTTTTTTCGTTTCAATACTCTGTGGATAACATATTCTGGAGGTGGTATGACTGGGGTCAATTCTTCGCGATAAAATGATCCTTTAATCTTTTCACCTTTCAAATCTTTCAAATGACATGTTGTTATAGGTTGAGAATTATTAATTCTATATATTTTAAATATTTCCTCTGTATTTTGTGTGTGAAACCCTCGGTTAAACGCGGATGATCTGCTAAGAGTCACTCTTGTTGTGTCTCCAACAGCCAATTTCTTACTGATTCGTTTCTTATGGGATCTTCCATTTTTATAATTTATGCGAAACTGATTCCTTTTATCATTCAATGTCGTAATACCATGGACTTGCAATGGGGTTTTACCACCAATCCCCGAGTGTGGAGTTGAATTATACGCATCTACTAATTCATTTAACACTTTTGAATAATTAAATGTATTGGCACTTGTCATATACTTGTATAATTTACGTTTCAACGTTTGCAAGACTCTCTCTGCAATGGAAGCTTTTGTTTCATTCGAAAATACATGATATAACTTTATATGCTTACTCTGGAGATAATTCTGTACCTGTTTATTTAGAAACTCCCTGCCTTTATCTGTAAATAATCTCGATATATTCTTCGCCTTTTCATTTTCCAATATGTTTTGTAATGCATGTAAAGTGCTCGGTCCGTCTTTCTTTTTCATGAGTACTGCTTGTAAATATCTTGAAAAAACATCGATACACACGAGAATGTATTTATATCCATCATTATATCTGGATAATTTAGACATATCACCCAAATCACAGGTTAATATCACTCTGGGTTTGGGTGCAATTATTTTCCTGCCAGGAAACTTCTTAGGTTTAAGAACATATAAAGTATATGATCTTTCTGAATTTAAGAAATTTCTGACCTCTTTCAAGGTTATGGAAGGATCAATCTTTTTTACAGCTGTATATAAACTGTTTACACCAGAGAATGATCCCGCAGAACCAGGATCTCTATAAACCTTTTCAATTAATTTTGCTCGCTCCATTGGTATACAATTTCGTAGGAATCCTGCCGTAACACATTGGTTCGCAACTGTAATGCTTCTGGTGTATTTAATGCAAGGTCTATGAATAAATAACCAAAGGGTGATAGATTTATAGCAGATTTATATATATTTACAAATTCTTTATTTTTTCCGAAAACTTGTCGCCCCAGAATCTCTACTTCTCCAAGATCCCTCATTTTAAATAAAGCAAAATGCGTGGCGTTTAAAGCCATGGTACGACTATATCGTCCTCCGTGAAATATATTTTGAGTAATTAGAATAATGCTTATATTATGATGTCTACCTTTAGTAAAACATTCGAGAATAATTTCACTGTTACCAGCTTTTAAAAATAGATCATCAACAATAATTATTGTATTTTCATCGGATGATGCAATGACATTCTGCGGGTCGATAATATCTTTACTTAATGTTAATTTATGAGATATCTCTGAAACTTGTTCTAAGGGGTGTGATGTCACCCCGCATATTATAATTTTATGAAATTTCTCGTGGTATAACTTTAATAATTTTGATGTGAAATAAGATTTGCCACTATTCGAATAACCGGCAATGATAATCCTTGATGGATAACGAAATATATCAACGTCAGCAGATGTGTATGTTGACAAGTTCAACATCTTCCTCTTATTATTTTAAAATGATCTAAAAGCTTCCTCCCATTAAGTTGAATGAACTAAAAAGGGTGTTTACCATAGAGAGGTGACTTGTACACTGTAAGTGTTAATGGGTTTTCAAGATATATAACAGCTAAGTTAATGTGGAGTAACCTCCTGTTGCGGGACTGCCTCACCAAAATTAGTTACTTTAGGGTGCCGATTGACACGGGTGTTCGGTAAGGAGAAGACCGTGTGATTTTTCTACCTTGGGTGTGAACCGCATTACATGGCGTCTGTCTGACCTGAGTTGATGCAGGTGTTCGGTAAGGAGATTGTTATCTTAAATCTACCTTGGGTGTGAACCGCATTACATGGTGTCGTCGGAGGGGAAGGGGTGTACAAAAATCATGACGCAATACTTTGGGGTGACCCATATAAGGTCGAGGAGTCTCTCAGAGCGAGGATTGTGTTTCCATCCGTCAAGCCTGGCTGACCTCATCTTCCAACGCTGAACCGCACATCATGGAGAAAGGAGATATTATCTAACATGTTTAATGATATAAAATGATTTGGGTTAATTTTTGTTGTTGGAGCATACGAGTGAAATTTTTACTGGGTTAGTGCGTTAATAAGTGAAATTCTTAACAGAGGATAAGAAAAGAATATACGCGAATTACTTGGAAGCATTAGTGAAGAGGAGATTGTCGATTAAAAGGCGACGATCGTTGGAAATCAAGAAAGGTGGTGTACATCGCAATGAGAGGTTGTTAGAATTGAAGAATGAGTGGGAACGCATAGATGTATTATGGAAGAAGGCTGTAGAAACAGGTATGTATCCAATTGTGATCTTTTGTTGTGAAAAATATTTATCGTAAAAATTAGCTAGTCACTCGAGAAAGATTTTTGTTCCATTCATTAAAATCTTAATTCGTAATATGTAAAAAAAAATTGAGAAGGGTGAAAGATTTTGTTCTATTCATTGAAAACTTAATATATAAAAATATTTTGGGGTATGAATTGGATATATTTTTTTCCTCTGCAGGAAATACACCTGGTACTGTTGTGAATCAAACTGAGAGTAATGTTGCACAGCCTGGAGGTATGCCGGGGAATGAAGATGAGAGTGTAGGTAGATCTGCTAGTGTTGGTACCTCACAACGCGGAGGTGCGGCGGGAGGTGTGGATACTTCTGTCCCCATTAATGAAGTTGATGAGAGAGCAACTACCTCACATGTCGTGTCTGACAGTAATGACGCACACATTAGTGGAGGTGAAGATGAGAGTCCAGAAATTATCACACACATCCAGAATTTTAGAGGTAGGCATACAGTGAGGAAATATAGTGTTCCTTCAACTTATAACAGAGAGTTAAGAATGTATTTACATGCTTATAGGGATTATTTTATAGATCAGATGCGAGATATGTATGATAGATCACCTCTAGCAATGTCGCTCAGAATCCACCCGATTATAGTTATAAGGACATTACGTCAAAACATATCGGGTGATGAACAAAATGGACAATTTGTGATAAATTTAGCGTTTGAGTTAGTAAGTGAAGAGGAAATCTCTGAAGTATTTGATCGATGGGTGGGAACGATATTAGAAAGATACGAGACAGAGTTGCAAGATCAGGAAGGATCTGGTTGGATCATAGATCAACTCGAATCTTTCAGTATCGAATACGTTAAAGTAGAATTCAGAGTACAAGTAGGATCATATGTGGCATATCCCAAGAAACTGCGAGGGAACCAATATGTATTTAATCCAGTGATTAATGACGGGTTGTGTGTACTGCGTGCTTTTGCTGCCTATCAATGTCATAAAAAGAATATGTCATGGAAAAATATTCGCAAAGCAGTTAATACTAAGAAAAGATGTCTTAATCATGCAAAATCTTCTATAGATGATTTTCCCATTACACGTGATAAGTTAGGTATATTAGAGAAGGAAAAAAAAGTGTCAAAAAGTTTATCAATTAAAAAAGGATCAAGGTAGGGACATTTGGGCTAGTGTCGAAAGGGGGAATAAGAAATATAAGGACTTTATGTGTGCGTTTTTTTAAATGAAAGTTTTTTGGGTTTTAAATCAAAGATTTGACGGGTATTTTAGAACGTTAATTCAAAAAAAAGGTTTAAAAGAAGGCTTCATAGTTGTTTGATGAATTAAAATACCGGAAATTAGTATCCCGAAGAGGGATGTAAAATAAATCAGATTTCGATTCCTCCAAAAAAAGGAAAACAGTGCATTTAAAAATTTTGTCATACACATTCCACGAATATACGGTGTATTTGTTTTCGAAATGCTTTTGATCCATTTCCCCCCCGGCAGGTAAAATTGAGTCTCGTCATAAAGCCATTGCCTATTGTTATATTATATTTGATCGCAAAGGAGAAATAGTGTGTATGAAGAGTTACAAGGGGGAGGATGCTGTTAATCATTTCATTTTAAATGTTAGTAGTGAATGGACTAAGATAAAGTATAGAAAAGAGTATCATGTAATCCATATGACAGAGGAGGATAAGATGAGACATGATTCTCAGATCACTTGTGAATTATGTAGTAACATCATGACCATACTTTAAAATTCAATAATTATATTGGAGCCTATTGTGCTAGTTGTAATTTGCAGTGTAAAGATAAGAATGAGAAATTATTACTTTTTTGTCATAACATGTCGTATGATTTAGGAATAATTTTAAAGGAATTGCAGGTTGATAAATATAAAATTAAACTTCATTCGAAACAAGGTCTCAAATTCTTGAAAGTAGACATAGGTAAGGTTAGGTTTCAAGATTCTCTGTCTTTATTGAATGGATCTCTTTCCACGTTAGCAGAACAACATATCAAGGCTGGTAAATCACTGAAATATACAGAGACTATTCTGAAAGATGCGCCTCAGGATGTCTTACCTTTATTATGTAAAGGAAAACAAATTTTGTGTTATGATTATATTGATAGTTTAAAGAAACTCGATGAAACAAAATTACCGAGTAAAGTAGGTTAGGCTAGGTTAGGTTAGGTTAGGATAGGCTAGGCTAGGTTAGGTTAGGTTAGGATAGGTTAGGATAGGTTAGGTTAAGTTAGGTTAAGATAGGTTAGGTTAGGTTAGGATAGGTTAGGATAAGTTAGGTTAGGTTAGGTTAGGATAGGATAGGTTAGGTTAGGTTAGGTTAGGATAAGTTAGGTTAGGTTAGGTAAGGTTAGGTTAGGTTAGGTTAGGTTAGGTTAGGTTAGTTTAGGTTAGGTTAGATGTGTGTGTGTGTGTGTGTGTGTTAGGTGGTTATAGAATTTTGTGAATATCTTGGGTACATTGATTTTTAGTGGATTTGAGATGGGTGATCAGATGCATTTGTGGATGTGAAATGTGATTTTTGTGTGTGTTCAGAAGAGGTGCGTTGGGAGATGGGTGAGTGGATGTGAAGAAATGCGGGTGAGATGGAGAAGGGTATGGGGAGGGTTGTATTAGAAAATTAATGAAATATGGGGAGATTTTACTGTGTTGTGGATTGTGGGCGTTGTTGTCGAACTAGAGATATCGAAAAAGTGGTTATAAGTTGTGGGTTGTTGTACCTTTTTCTGATGAAATTAGTTAAAACGAGAAAAAAAAATGTGGGTTGTGGGTGTTGTGGGTTGTGGGTGTTGTGGGCGTTGTGGGTTGTGGGTGATTTTGGTGGTGTTTTGAGTGTATTCAGTGGTGTATTTGGGAGTACTCAAATGGTGTTTTGGAAGTGATTCAGTGTTGTTTGAAAAATGTTCAAAGGTGTTTTTGAAGGTGTTCAAATGATGTGCAAGAGTACTTATGAAGGTGTTCTGGGAGTAATCAGAGGTGATTTTGGGGGTGTTCGAATGATGTTTTTGGAGTATTCAAAGGCAATTGATGGTGTTTTTTTTTTTGGTGATGTTCAAAGTAAAGTGTTTGAGTTAGTTTTTGTGATAATGTTGTGAAGTCTGGAGACTGAGGGTGGAGTATGTGGGGATGAGTTGTAAGTGTCCGAATTAGTTTTTGTGATAATGTTGTGAAGGCTGGAGACTGAGGGTGGAGTAGGTGGGGATGAGTTGTAATTTAATGAAATGTGTAAGTGCAGATAAATTAGAGCTGTCAAATCTTATTTGGGAGTATTCAAAATGATATTTTGGAAGTGTTTCAGTGTTGTTTGGAAATGTTCAAAGGTATTTTTGTGAGTATTCAAATGATTTATGAGCGGGTTTTGAAGGTGTTCAAAGCGAGGTGTGTGTACGTATTAACTTCGTAATATGTAAAAATTGTGACTAGTGAATTAATGGAAAAGTGGTTATAAGTGTTGTGGTGACTTTCTGATGAAATAGTTAAAACGAGAAAAAATTGGGGGTTATGAGTGAAAATTGTGAGATGTTGGTTGGAGTGTGAGGGTTCTGGAGGGTGGGGAGGAGGAGAGAGAGAAGGTTACTTCGTGGGGAGTGACCTGAGATGAAATAGTTAAAACGAGAAAAAATGTCTAGACTTGTGTTGTAAAGAAATTGTGGATTGTTGTGGGTATTAAAGAAAAAAATGTGAAATTATTTGGATTATCATGGGTTAAGAGTGAAAATGTTTTCCCTATGTTGTATATGAAATGTGTAATACTGAGATGGGGGAGTCGACAAGATTCAGCCTGTGTGCGGGGTCATCACGTGACGTCACTGACATAGGGGGAAGTCGACAAGATTGAGCCTGTATGTGTGAGGTCATCATGTGACGTCACTGACATAGGGGGAAGTCGACAAGATTCAGCTTGTATGTGTGTGTGTGTGTGTGACGTCACTGACCGCCGAGTAAACACCCTTTTTACTTCATTTAACTTAATGAGAGGAATACTGACGTCACACTTGTTTAGACCTGTAGTAAGAGAGAGCACCATGCCCCCATAGGAGGAGTTCATTTGAATACTTACCCCAGAGGGGGAATCCAAAAAACTTTGATCCGAGGAGATGGAGTCTTTGTATTATCGAGAAAAAAAAATTTGGGGTGGGGGTGAAAGTGGGAGGGGGAACCTCAAAAATTTGATCCGAGGAGATGGAGTCTTGGTATTATCGAGAAAACCTTGATCCGAGGAAATGGAGTCTTTGTATTATTTTGATATCGAGAAAAAAAATTGGGATGGGGGAACCACAAAAATTTGATCCGAGGAATTGGAGTCTTTGTATTATCGAGAAAAAAATTTGGGTGGGGGTGAAAGTGGAGGGGGAAACCTCAAAAATTTGATCCGAGGAGATGGAGTCTTGGTATTATCGAGAAAACTTGATCCAAGGAGATGGAGACTTTGATTTCGAGAAAATTTGATCCGAGGAATTGGAGTCTTTGTATTATCGAGAAAAGCTTGATCCAAGGAGATGGAGGCTTCCAAAAAACTTGATTCGAGGAAGTGGAGACTTTGATTTCGAGAAAAACTTGATCCGAGGAGATGGAGACTTTGTATTATCGAGAAAACTTGATTCGAGGAGAGCACAAGAAATTCAAAAAAAAAAATCGGAAAAAAATTCGGGGCGCGGGGGCGATCCGGACGACGCTGGCGCAGAGGCGCGGCGGAGGCGGTGGGTCGCGCGAGGGCGGGGGGCGCGAGGGCGGGGGCGCGAGGGCGGGGCGGGGGGGGTCGGGGGGGGCGGGCGGGGGGCGCGGGTGCGGGTGGGGCGCGGGGGGCGCGGGGGGGGCGGGGGGCAAGGTCAAGGTCATTAGCACATAGGTGTGAAAAAGGTCATTAGCACATAGGTGTGAAAAGGGAGCCACTCGGGAAAAGGAGCCACTCTGTAAAAGGGGGAGCCTGAGAGGGGAACCCGTCTGTAGAAGGACCCGAGAGGAGGGCCATAGTAAAAATCATCCTAATATAAATTAAATAAATATATATATATTATATAATTAATATATATAATAAATATATATTAAACATTTAATTTGTCATTGTGAGACGTAGAGTCCAGCCCGCATCCCTGCGGCCAAACCTAAACCTTACACATGCTAAAGGTTTTCATTACCCTTCTCCTCCTCTTCCATATTTTTACAACATCTCCAGTGATCCCCTACCCAGTTGTCATATCCTTTGCAAAATCCTTTAATGCCAAAACAGGTCCTTACGTTTCTAAGTACTACTTACTACACACCTCGGTCTACTCCCCCCTGTCATTCGAAAAATTTTCCCCTGCTCCTCTAAATTTTTTTTTGTTTCCTTTATCTCCTCCATAAAAATTTCTGCCCAAAAACCTTACTTTGTATACTCATAGGGTTTACCCCTCTAAAATTCCCTTTTATCGTTTTGTTCCTTTTTCCTGTAAAAAGGGGAACTATGCACCCCTTCGTCAATCCTTTGTACTTTCCTTTCTTTCATAATTAAGTAGCGGACCCACCAGAAATACTATCGACATTGATTTTAAGTCTCTATCTTAATTCTAACTACCCAAGCCGCTTTTTACCCCCCGTCATTTTTCCCACTAACTCACTTTCCCACATCCACCACGGGCCCCACCCATTTTATATCAATGTTACTTTGAAATTAAAGACACATGTGAACATCGGATTTTTATGTAATTTCGTCACCCAGGGTTTAAAATCAAATTTAGGACATAACTTGAAAAACAGAAACTATAGCAGAAAAAGAGGAAATCATCCCTAAACCTTGGGAGTGGGTGTGAAAGCCCGTATTCGTGGATTCTGAATCAAAAGCAAGGACCGGGCGCTTTAAGTAACGTCAGGTGTACAGACGAAGGCATTCCGGGTGGGCGGGATTCCCAGGGGAATTGGCCCCTTTCCCCAAAAGAGAGGGTTGTTGGAGTGTTGTCGTAGTCGTGAAGGGTTATGTACTGTCCTAAAAATCAAGTTTCCATGAGTTCAGGTCTGAAAAGAGGCAAAAAGGTATTAATCCCGAAAAGATGAAATTAAAAACATGTGCAACATCGGGGTATCTTTTTTGTAAGTTCGCCATCCGGGCTTTAAAATACAAATTCTGGGACATAACTTAAGACAGTAAAAAGTGGATTTTTTTCTG